TTGACTTGGTTGTTAGCTCCATGAGAATGGGGTTCCTGTTCCCTGGAATTATAGAGCATGAATAGACTTCATAAGTGTCAGTCCTGGACCTGCCTCTTCTGCCTGATCATCTGGGAGCCCGTCAGGGCAGGGGCTGTGTCTCTTTCCTGTCTGCATTCTTAGCACCGAGGACTGGGCCTGGCCCAGACTGGGCCCTTTGTATTTGCTGCCTGATACTCCCGTTCTTGTTTTTCTCCCTTTTTCCCCTTCACACTCCTCATTCTTGATTAAGTAGGTAATTTTGAACACTTCATTAAGTACAGCTAGAAAATAAAACCAATTCGTAAAGCCACATTTGCATATGATGCCAGCCTCATGCATTTGTATATCTCCAGAAACCGAGGTATGCCTCACCAATTTGCCCATCTTTAATAAAATCATATGTTAAAATTTGAAAGAAAAAAAAAAAGGCTTCTAATGCATGTCAGGCTGAGCCTGGCCTCTCCCAGAGTGGGATATGCCAGGCAGGCACCAGGTCTCTGCCACTGACTCTGCTTCCAAGCCAAAGGATTTTAAGCGGGAAGTTTGGGGTACATTCCTGGCTGTTGTATGGAGGCCTTGGCCAAGCCAGAATCACCTTGGCTGGTAGGCCAGTGACCTAGAAAGGTCTGGTCTAACCTGAGAGATTTGGAGAAAGCCAGGAGGTCCCAGTGATGCCCACAGGCCCCTCTCAGGTTGGGGAGCTTGGGCTGTGAGTCTCCCTCGAGGAGTGAGGTCCACACAGCCTAACGAAGTCTTATTTGGTTCACAGGAACTTTGTTCCCTGAATACAGTTTGTCCCTTCTTAAGCCGAACTGGAGGTCCGGTAAATGGGAGAATGCCGTGGCTGCATGTCACCCACTCCACTGCTGGAAGACAGGTCTATTGTGCCAGGCCACAGGAACCAGTCTGTTGGTATGCGGGGGCTGGCCCTCGAGGCTGTGGCACTTGGCCTGAAATCAGTCCACTGCTATGGGGACAATGGGAAGGGGCTGAAGAGAGCCACCCTGGCAGTGACAGACCCCCAGAGCCTTGTCCGCCTCCCATCCACTGAGCAAGTGAGGCAGGATTCACCCTCTGCCTGGAAAAGGAGGCTTGGGGGATGGGCAAGTAGAGCTATGCTCCTCAGATTTGAGGATTTATCAATAAAATTTCAAAAAGTCATTTTGGGAATTGATATAAGGGTTGCTGGCAACTTATTTTGTTAAGTAAAGACGTAGTTTAAAAAATTAGTTTCTTATTACTACTATATCCTAAAAAATGAACATTTTAATGCCAAAAATATAGAAACAAAGACTAGTTCGTCCTTTTGAGAAAGGTCGATTGGCTTCTTACACTGACATTTTGTATTGTGGACAGGTGAGAACGTGGGCAGGGACCAGTTCTTTGTAATTATTGGCTCAGGGATTTGTGTGTGTGTGTGTGTGTGTGTGTGTGTGTGTGTGTACATTCCACTAAGGGATTGGTAAGCAAGTTTAATTGAGAGCGAGAGAGAGAGAGAGAGAGAAGGAAAGTGGTGTAGAAGCCTAAGCCCTGTGACTGGAGAGGGAAAAGGAAGTGTTCCTCCATCCCAGATATTTTTTGGATGAATCCAGAGATTCTTTACTTTTCTATATCACTTAGGCCTTCTGTGGATTAACTAGTTTTCTTTGAAAGTACAAATATCCCATGGGAAGGATCCATCAGGAAATCTGGACTAAGTGCTACTGTGTATACAGCCTCCAGGAAGGTGTTTGTCCAGGTGAAATCTGGTTGGGCTAAATGTCAAGGGCATGTGTGGGTACAGGAGGGAGGGAAGGGACCGGCTTTGACTGAGCCTCACTGTGTGTCAGGTACTATGCTTGGGCTTTTCCACGTGTGTTAACTCATTGAATTTTGCCCAAGACAGAGAGAGCTGCTGCTTCTTATCTCCATTTTCCTGATGAGAAAACTGAAGCCCAGAAAGACACAATGTGTGTATGAGGTCACGTAACCAGTGATGGAGCCAACATTTATATCCAGGTCTGTCTTAACCTAAGACCAGAGCTTTAGTTTCTCTGGTGCATCAAAGCACAAAAGTGTTTTAAGACTCTGTGTCAGCCACTCCCAGGCCCAGGGAAGGAATGTCAAGAACTGGTCTGGTCCAGGCTCTATAAGTCACTTAAAAAAAACATTTTAGGAAATTGTAGTAAAAGACACATAACATAAAATTTAGCATTTTAACCATTTAAATATGTACAGTTCAGAACACTGAAGTGTGCTAAATTCAGTAGCATTTAGCATATTCACAATGTTGTGCAACCATCACCACCATCTAGTTCCAGTACCCATTAAGCAGTCACTCCCTATTCCTCCTCCCCCAGCCCCTGGCAACCGCTAATCCACTTTTTGTGTCTGGACATTTCATATAAATGGAATCATACAAGATGTGGCCGTTTGTGACTGGCTTCTTTTATTCAGCACGATGCATCAGTACATCCTTTCTTTGCGTGGCTGAATAATGTTCCATTGTATGGATATGCCACATTTTGCTCATCCATTTATCAGTTGACGAACGTTCAGGTTGTTCCTACCTTTTAGCTATTGTGAATGGTGCTGCTGTGAATATCCTTGTCCAGGTTTTTGTCTGAACACCTGTTCTCAATTTTTTGTGTGTGTACATACTAGGACTGGAATCATTGGGTCATATAATAATTCTGTGTTTAACTTATTGAAGAACAGCCAAACTGTTCTCCACAGCAGCTGCGTCATTGTACATTTCCACCAGCAGTATATGACGTTTCTGATTTCTCCACCTTTTTTGCCAACAACTTATTTTCCTTTTTATAGGCATCTTAGTGGGTGTAAAAAGGTATCTTATTGTAGTTTTTGTTTGCATTTTTAAAATCAGGGGTCCCCAACCCCTGAGCCAAGGACTGGTACCCTCTGTGGCTGGTTAGAAACCAGGCCGCACAGCAGGAGGTGAGCAGCGGGAGAACAAGGGAAGTTTCATTGTTCCCCAGTGCCAGCATCATCACCTCGGCTCCCCCTCAGATCGTCAGGTATTAGATTCTCATAGGAGCACTAGTCCCTGGTACCCAAAAGGTTGGGGACCGCTGTTTTAAATGACTAACAATGTTGATCTTCTCTGCCCCTTAACTCTTCAGGGGGCCTCAAGCAGGTCTCTCTCACTCTCTCCATTGCTTCAGTTCCCTCATGTCTAAATTAGGATACTGCCTAGGGTTGTTATGAGGATGAAACGAGTGAAAAAACAGCATGCGTGCCAGGCACATAGTAGGGACTCTGAAGTCCATCTCAGGTAGCCACAGCCTGCACTTGCTCAGCTAGGGGAGAGGCTGGCCACTGCAGAGACCTTCCTGGCTCCAACCATCCGAGACTCTGCGGAGTAGGTTACAGCTGCTCCCCTCCGCCTGGCAGTCCCCATCCCCTCCACAGCCTCCAACACCCTGTAGTCCTCAGGGAACCATGACTCTTCAGAGGCGGGGCCAGGACGGATTTCCATTCAACCCAGAAGGTATTTATAGAGTGTAACAGAGCCCCTGAGACCCTTTTTCTATTTCTGTGCTTGCTCCCTGCCCTCTGTGCTTTCTCTTCTGTGTGCGTGTTCTCTGCAGACTGCTCACAGTTACTGCACGCAGAAGTGCCTGGAAGTTTATCACCCAAGGTGGCCCTTAGATAATGACTGGGGTACAGGTGAGAGCAGGCCCAGCTCCCTAACCTCAGATGGGGACAACCCTGAGGTGTAACTTACACTGGGGACAGGCCGAAGGCATCCTCTTCACCTTGTTGCCTCTTCTTCTCCCATCCTGTTTCTCCCTGTCCCTCTTGTGTCCCAAGGAGCACTTCCCTACTGGGAATCCCCATCTCGGGGTCTGCTTCCGGGGAACTCAACATAAGACACGGAGCACCTACTGTGTGCCAAGCCCTGTGGAGAATGACGAGAAAGACAAAGTTAGATAAGACGTAGTTCCTTCCCCAAAGGAGTTTGCAGCTTGGCTGAGGCTGGTCCTGAAAGCAGTAGTAATGCTAATAGCCAACACTGCACACCAACTATGTGCCAGCCCCCAGGCTGAATGCTTTAAATACATTACTTCATTTAAACTTTGTAACAAGTCTGTGAGGGGATGGTATTATCTCCACTTTACAGATTAGAAAACTGAGGCCCAGAGAGATTAACTAATATGTGGTCTTGGGTTGAACAGCCCGGAAGTGGCAGCACTCACCTGGAGCCCTGGTTTTGTCTGCCTCTGAAGACCATGCTCCTACTCACTGTACCAGATGCCATTTTTCTTCAGAGGGACAAGCTTCCAGGAAGAGGAAGGGGAAGGAGGAGGGAGAGGGAGTGGGGGAGAGGGAGGGGGATGCCCTCGCTGCTCTGTTCAACAGAAGACAGGTTCTCCAGGCTGTGCTCCGTCTGGCTGTGAAGGGGCTTCACAAGTAATTTGTTCCCGATGTTGGTTCACCTTCTGTGAATGATTTTAATTAAGAAAAAAAAAAAAGAGTAAATTCAAGCCCATCTCTCTGCATTCCCTGCTCACTTTCTTTCCACTCTGTTTTTCTGAGCAGGAGAAGAGTGAAGGTCCTGCCCACCTGCCAATGATGGCTGCCTAAGGTAAAGACCCCGTCCCATGTGTTGTGGTGTAAACGGTACCAGTTGCCGCCTTGCCTGGTCTTCCCACCATCTGAGCTCCCATAAGGCAGATGGAGAATGGGTGCCTCAGGCTCCCATGAGAGAAGAAGGCATGGCCATTGACCTGTATCCCTTTGTGATAAAGCCTTTCACCCCCTTCCCCAATGGCCAACAACCACCAGACCCCTGGGGAATCAGAAGTACTGTCTCAGAAGAAGCCAGGCAGTCAGTCTCTGAGAGTATATTGGGGTGGTTAAGAGCACAGACTCAAGGCAGACTGCCTAGAATCAAATCCTAGCTCTGCTTTCTACACGCTGAGTCACTCTGAGAAAGTTACTTACCCACCCCATGCCTCAGTTTCCCCATCTGTAAGTGGGGACAATAATAACATTGGCCTCTTAGGATTGTTGTGAGAATCGATTGAGATAACATTCATAAGGCAGATAGAACACTGCCTCGTACATAGAGTAGTCCCCCATTATCCACAGGGGGATACGTTCCAAGACCTCCAGTGGATGCCCGAAACTGAGGATAGTACCAAGCCCTGTATACACTATGTTTTTTCCTATATATACCTACTTGTGATAAAGTTTAATTTATAAATTAGGCACAGTAAGAGATTAACAACAACAATAATGATATAGAACAATTATAACAATATACTGTGATAAAAGTTGTGAGTGAGACATTATTAAAGTAATAAGGGTTACTTGAACATAAGCACTGCGGTATTGTGACAGTCGATCTGATAACTAGCAAGTAACTAATGGGCGTGTGGCGCATACAGCGTGGAGACGCTGGACAAAGGGATGATTCACATCCCAGGTGGGGCGGAATGGGATGGAGCAAGATTTCATCATGCGACTCAGAATGGTGTGCAATTTAAAACGTGATCTGTGTATTTCTGGAATTTTCCGTTTAATCTTTCGGACCGTGATTGCCTGTAGGTAACTGAAACCGCAGAAAGCGAAACCACAGATAGAGGGGCCTACTGCAGCAGGAACTCTACGAGTGTCGGTTGTTATTATTATGACCGTCATGAAAGGAGGGCCCGGGCCCAGCTAAGACTCCTGACTTAGGAGTTGCCCAGCAGCCCCTGATAGAGCCCCTGAGTCTGGACACACTCTCCCAGACAGATGTCTTTGGACCCCTCTGTGTTCCTGGGTTGCAAGATAAAGGCTTCTGCCTTCCTCTTTCCCCAGACCTCCTTTCCTTGGCTTGCATCTCACCTGCTCAGGGTTCCTGGTGGCTCTGGGAGTCAGACTGGGGCCTGGAGGGGCTGGTCGCAGGGACACCACCCTGGACTCTGTCTACCAGCCTACAGGCCTCATAGTGGTGGTGGCAGAGGGGGTGGGGTCGCGGCTGACTCAGTGTCCTGCACCTGTGAATAAGCCAGCTCTGCTGCTACCTAGCTGTGTGATCTTGGCCAGCTCCCTCCCCCGATCCTGGCGACAGTATAAGCATTTATGAAACGTTGCCTCATTTAACCCTCAAACTCACCAGTAATTGTGGTCCTCATTATACATACTCAGATGCAGAGGCAACAAGAGGTGAGCAATCAAAATAAGAACAGAGACTTGGTCAGGGAGGGGCTGGGCCAGGGAAGACGTCTGCCCATTGACAGGAGCGGAATTTACTGGGTGTTTCCTCTGTTCCAGGCACATGCTGTTAAGGTGAGAAGCCTGGGGCCACAAGCTGGTGGAGCTGGAACCAGAACCAGGTCTGTTTAGAAGCAGGTCCAGGGCCGGACTCTTGATATGATAAGGGCCAGGACCGGAGGCTGGCGCCTGGCCAGGAGATTGGGCTGAGAAGATGCAGCAAGGAGTCGTTGCCACCCAGAAGGCAGAGGGCTGTGTTTCCCCCATCACAGTGGGGACTCCCTGAGGTCAGGGACTAATCTCCTCAAATGGGAGACTTTCTTCCTGGGAACTTTGTTAAGTTTCTATTATAGAAACTTTCAAACATACACATAAGTAGAGAATAAAACATAATAAACACCTATGCACCTATTCCCAGACTCAGCAGCTATCATTCATGGCCAATCTGGTTTTATCAATCCCCATCCTCTCTCCCTTGCCTGCACCTTTAGATTATTTTGAAGCATACCTCAGACAGCATATCATTTCACAGATATTTCTGAATGTGCATCTAGAGATAAAGACTCTTCTTTAAGAAAAAGAAAAAAACCCCCTTAATTATAGACTTTTGCAAAGCCAAAGACTTGCTTCTTCTTTCCTCCTTATATCCAGCTCAGGAAACCCCCCATTGCTCTAGGTTTGAGGTTCCTTCTGCTTCCATTTCCAGGGCCTGAGAATGGCTCCAGGTGGGGGAGGGGCAGCTCAGTGTGCAGCAGACTGACTTTGGCCAAGACCTTCCCCTGCCAGTGGAGGGCAATGGGGGATGTGATATCTGAGGTCAGCTTGGCACTCTCCCTGATGCACGTGGCTCTTGGCTCTACCTTCATGCCACAGTCCTTGAGGACTGTCCCCTTCATGGCCCTCAGGTGCAGAGTTAGTCTCACTCCGTTCACAGCGGCCTGTGCGGGCATCACTGGCATTTCTGATTTTGTCTGTGTTTATTCCTTTTTATGCCCTTTCCACACCTTCCCCTTCTCCTCTCCGTATTTGATGCCTCTCTTCCTGTTTGTATGTTTTCTACAAACAGGTATTGCTGTTTTGTAAACTTTTTTTTTTTTTTTTTTACTTTGATGAATGTCATTGTGTGATGGGTCTTCACAACACACTGTCTAGCTTTGTTGCTTCAAATTGCTTCATCATACTCCATGACGTGCAGCCCCACCAAGTACTGCCCACTCCTCCCACCATGAATGAGCTGCCTGGCTCCTTCCTCCTGGCTGGTAGGGTCCCAGGTGAGATTCCAGGATGTAATCAGGGATGGAGTTGCTGGGTCACAGGACACACGGGTATTTCATTTCACTAAGTATAGCCAAGGCGAGTGGGTGCCTAGCCTACATCTGCCGAGCAAAGAGCTTCTGTGTCCCCACATCCCTGCCAGCACTGGGCTCTGTCCAGCTTTCTCATTTTTGCCCCTCTACTATAAAGTGAAGTCTAATTTTCAGCACTTCTCATGCTTTTTAGCTTTCAGAGTCTTGCCTTTTTAAACTGCCTCTTCATAGCTCCTGTCCGTTTTGGGGTAGGGTTGCTGTCCTCTCATTGTTCTGCAGATGTTGCTTGTATTATCTAGGCTAGATACTAACCCTCTGTTGGTTTTGACATGGCAAGCACCCGCCGTCATTCTGTCATCTTCAAGCACTTTGAAACCTAATGCCTCTCCCTCCTGCCTGCCACCCGGCTCCTTTCTGAGTGGATGGCACAGGTGAGGCCCTTCTCACTGTCTCTGCCCTTTCGGTAAATGCCAGGCGTCCAGGACAGGGTACAGCCTGCACCAGGAACTTACTCTTAGCATGGGTCACAGGCATGGGGGAGGGAGAGACTGGCCAGGGCAGGATAGCAGCTGCCCCAGAGCCCTGTCCCTACCCCCCGGGTGCCCTTGCCCCAGGCAGGTCGGGGCCCAACTGGTCAAGGTTCTTTCATTTTACACACACCCACATTAGGCTGGGTCATGGTGTCGGACCTGGGGCCTCCAACTTGACTAAGACCCTGCCCCTGGCCTCAAAAACTCCAGCTCAGTGGGGGGAAGCATGTCCACTGACCAGGGTGGTAGCTAGGCCTCAGAGAGAGGGCACTGTAGGACATAGCTTGGACCACTGTTGTCACTGGTCAGAGAGGGCTTCCCGGAGGCGGTACCTTCGGTCTGGGCCTTGGAGGAAGCATGAGAGCGAGCAAGCGAGCGTTCCGCAGGCCTCAGCAAGGTCATAGTTAAAACTCTGAGTGGGAAGAGGGGTGGAGCTTTTTTTCTCCAATTCCAGGGAACACGGTTTCTAGGTCTTCTTTTTTCCTAAAGTCGAGCGGTCTTTGCCCATGGCTTTCCTTCTAAACAGAGGCCGGGGGCATCACAGGAAAGAGGAGGATGGCTTGGGGGCTAGCAGATCTGCCTTTCAGCCTCACCCTCGGAGCGACCTTGGGCAAGTCCCTTTTCCTCAGTCCCCTTGTGTGAACTATGAGGGCATAGGGTGAAGGAAAGCTCCCCAGGACCCTCTGGAATCTCCAGGAATGATGCCAGCATGGCAGCAGTGGATGTCTTTCCCTTTTTGCCCCTTCACATCCTTTAAGGGACAAGGGTATTGTGGGCACAGTGTCCATGCCGCCAGGCCCTCCCTGCCTGTCCGCTCTGTAAAGCCCCTCTCTGATGGCCCCAGGGCAGGCTTGGCTTAGTTTTCAGAGTTTGGTCTCAGAGCTTTCTGGACTTTCCTCACAACAGCTCTTGTGAGTCGAGCAGATCCTATATGTTGGCCACTGTGCTTGGTGCTTTACACCCATGGCCTCACCTACTGTGAGGTGGGGACTATTATTATTCCCATTTTGTGGATGATACTGAGGGGCTCAGAGAGAGTAAGCCACCTGCCCAAGGTCATCCAGTTTATACGTGGCAGGACAAGGATTTTATCCCAGCTTGCCTACTACAGAGTCCCCATGCCCCCATGGATCCTCCTTTTCCTAAATCCCAGATGCCCCGTTAGCATTCCTTGGCTAAGCCCGCTCCACAGTTCTCCTTGATTCCAAACACCTCACATAGACACCTCCACCTTTCCCAAATTCACTCCTACTTTCCCCTCTGCCACCCCCACGGCACCCCCTTTATTGCTGGAGCCCTGTTGGCCCCTCCCGAGCCTCTCTTTGTTTCTCTGTATCTCCCTGGAGTGTGCCCAGGGGCTGGATGCCCACATGAAGCCAGGGAGATCCCTGAGGTTCCTCAGTTAGCCCCAGCCCTGCAGCACATGCCGGCTCTGAGGGCCTTGGGTGGAGGCTCTGGGCCTCTCATCCCAGGAAGTCACCCCCTTTCCTGAGGTTGAGAAGAGTCAGCCATGGAGGAGGTCACCCTCTAGGTCCCAGAGGGGCTGAAGACCTGGGCCCCAGCAGCTGGCCTGGCACGTGCCAGACGTGGCCAGCCTGAAGGGTACGTGCCTGTCTTGCTTGAAGCTGCTGGGTTATCAGAGGGGAGTGAGGGGGCTGGGACACCCCGTCTCCTGGGACGTGCAGGGACTCATGCCACCTGGGGGTGTGCGTGCACTCATGCATGTGCTGGCTGTGCTAGCCCAGGGCATTGCAGGCCTGGCCCCAGAGGAGGATGGTGGGAGTTCTGGGTTTAACACTCAACTCTCCTGCATTTAATAAACTCAGCACAGTGCCTGGGACCCAGCAGGCCTCTGACCTGTCTTCCCTGTTATTATTTTTATAGTTAGGAGCCTAAATCATGTTTTCTTTCCTCCTGGGCAAAGTCTGTTTTCCACATGAAACCCCAGCTGGTGGAGAGTTGGGAGTGGGTGTGTAAAGGGAGCTCTGGGCTGGGAGTGCAGTGATCCAGGCCAAGCCCTGTCTGACCTCTCTTCCAGATGCAAAGCTGTTCCACCTCTGAGACTCATCTTCCACCCATCCAGGAGGGCCAATACCACCTGGGAGGGTTGCTATGAGTCTGAAATGAAACCCAGCGTGTGCCAGCGGTGTGTAAATGCCACGGTACCACATAAACGAGAGTGGTGCTGCTGGTCAGCGTCTTTTACTTTCACTGAGTGCAGAGCCAGCATCAGGAAGGGCGACCTATGGACCCCAGACTCTATTTGTTAAGGATTTAGCCCGCGCCCTTGGAAACAGTTTGGGTTGCCTGGGCCCCCGAGACATGGAAGATGCCTGGGTGAGGTTTACTGGATACATGAATGAGTGAATGACTATATGAAGAGACATCCATCGATGCAGGTGCTGAGGCAGAAGGCTGCCTCCCACTGAGAGGTCATGGGGGGCTGGACAAGATGACATTTGAGGTAACTTCCCACTGCTGGTCCTTTCCAGGTTCTATGACTTAAACGGAGTCCTGTGTCCTTTCTAAGAGCTTTTTGCTCCAAGCCTCCCTGTGACTGGTGCTGGGCTGGGCATAGTACCTTCTATGCCCACATGGCCCTGCCTTCAGGGGTTCCTGGGTCAAAGTATGGGGAGAACCCACAGTTAGCAGGACCTACATGATGGGCCAGGAGTGAGGAAGGGGAGGGGAGAATATCCTCTGGGAGGTCAAAAAGCTGGGTGTGTGAGGGGGACGGTGGGTGGGGACACTGCCAACTCCTTGTGGATCAGCCTGGAAGGCTTCCTGGAGGAATTGGTATTGAATCTGAGTATGAGAGCCAATGGGCTGCTCCCTGGTCCCAGCCATCACAGAGCATAGGAACTCCTGAGCCTTCAGGTTTCAGTTCTTGCTGGCCCACTTGGGCAGTCTCTTGGAAAGCTGGGGTTTCTAGGTATGGTTCTGATACTGCCTGACCTTGACAGGTTCTAATCTCTCAGAACCCATTTCCTTTCCTGCAAACAGGTGATTAGTGCTAGGACTCTGGGAAGGGGTCTGCTGGGAGCTACCTGATCAGCCCAGCCTGAGATCTTGTGCCCTGGGGTGAGCTGAGTGTGTGTGTGTGTGTGGGGGGGGTGACTTCTCTCTGCAGCTGCCACCTCCTGGAGGGCCTTTTGGGGGCTGGAAAGAATCCCCAGCAAAGGTCAGTCCTTGGCATCTACCCCCTCTCCAGGTCCCCCTGCCCCATTTTGTCCTCTCAGTGTTACATTCCACAGAGGAAAGTGATCCCTCACTCAAGGCCTGAGGA